TTTAAAATATAATAAATTTTTTATATATAATTATTTTATATTATTTTATATTTCAAACAACAACGATTCAAACACGAACGAACGCATCATTGTTCGTGTTTGGTTCGTTTAACTAAGCGAACGAAAAAAATTTGTTCGCATTTGTCTCGTTTACTCATCGAACGAATCGAACACGAACTCATTGACGAACCAAACACGAACTGTTCGCGAACAACGAGCTTTTTTGACAGCCCTAGATGCGCGGACAAAAACCGAACTAAATGATAAAAGGAGTCTTATCGATCACAATATTACTGCATCTATGCTCAGAGAATATCATATTATATATGCCAAGCACTGCCTACCAAAATAAATTGATGTTTTTATGCTTTTATGCCATTGTTTCGGGCAATACATAGCTCACATAATGAGCTCATCCAAAGTCAAATGATACTATGATTACTGGGGTGCTCTGCTTTTAGAAAACCAGGCTTTGATATTAACCAAATGTTTGGATATCACTTTTTGCCATAAAGTTATGCAAATTTCAAGCTTTTAGAAAATGATACCCATCTTCCCAAAACAACAACAACAACAACAAAGCCTTAATCCCACTAGATGGGGTCGGCTACATAATCCTTTTTTCTCCATTGCGTCCTATTTAGTGTCATATTTTCATTTAGTTAAATTAAGTTCTTTTTTATACAATAAGCCCAAGTCTTCCAAGGTCTACCTCGGCCTTTCTTAACATAAGTCGAATCTAAAACATCTACTCTCCTAATCGGATCATCAGATGGTCGACGCTTAATGTGACCAAACCATCTAAGATAACTTTATCTAATTTTGTCAGTCACAGGAGCTACACCAACCCTATCACGAATATAATCATTTCACATTTTGTCCTCAAGTGCAAAGCCACTCATCCACCTAATAATTCTCATCTCGGCAACACTTAACTTAGTATTATGCTTCTCTTTTAAAGGCCAACATTCAGCGCCATAGAGAATTGCAGGTCTCACCACCGTCTTATAAAATTTCCCTTTCAGTCTAAACGGTACTTTTCTATCACACAAAAGGCCCGAAGCATTCCTCCACTTCAACTAGCCAACTTGAATTCTACTATTAACATCTCCATCTCTATCACCATCGCTTTGAACAACAGACCCGAGATATCTAAATCATTCACACCTTTTAATAATTTGATCACCCGAAGTTACACTTCTGTCACTATGTCACTAGAGCTACAAATTACATTCAATGTATTCAGTTTTAGTTCTACTCAAATGA